TATCGCAGATTCATCCAAAACTACGCGAATATTGCTGCGCCGTTACATGACTGCCTGTCCAAGGACAAAATAAACAAATTTCACATGACCGATGAGGCCATCAAGGCGTTTGAGGCACTGAAACAAAGCCTTATATCCGCCCCAGTACTCGTACATCCGGTCTTCTATAGATGATTTTACATACCATGTGACGCATCGACTGACGGGGTGGGAGGACTACTCTTCCAACTGGACGCGGACGGGGAAGAAAGACCGATAGCGTACATGTCAGCCAAATTGAATAAGACACAAAGAAACTATAGCGTGACCGAGCTAGAATGCTACGCCGCCGTGCTAAGTGTCAAACGTTTCCGACCCTATGTGGAAGGTCTACCATTCACCATAATCACGGATCACGCTAGCCTTAAATGGCTAATGCAACAAAAGGACCTCAGCGGACGTTTAGCAGGGTGGAGCTTAAAACTACAGGCATTCGACTTCGATACCCAGCACCGCAAAGGCGCGCAGAACGTGGTTCCAGATTCGTTATCGCGGATGGATGTCGAAGAACTACAGCTCAATGATAGGGTACTCGATGTGTGCCTCGATTCGCCTTATTTCCACTCCGAAGAATATACGAGGCTGAGAGACACAATCGACAAAGGCCAAGACAAACTACCGGAGCTATGTATATCGGACGGTTACGTATATAAACGGACCCAGTTTAGGCGAGGGGATGAATTGCAGGAAGACCAAGCCTGGGAGCTCTGGGTGCCGTCGGAGCTGCGTATGGGGCTCGTGGAAGCTGCTCATAGTTCGCCCTCAGCTGGACACGGGGAAATCCACAAAACGTTAGCTAGGATCCGCGAAAAGTATTACTGGCCCGGGATGGTCAGGGATGTACAACGAACCATAAAAGTATGCGAATCGTGCAAGGTTAATAAGACCCAAAACCATTTCAAAAGGCCACCAATGGGTAAACAACAAGTCACTGGGCGACCTTTCCAACGTGTATATGTCGATTTTATTGGACCATATCCGCGCACCAAGGATGGAAATGTGTTTGTGTTCGTTTGTCTTGACCATTTTTCCAAATTTGTCTTTCCTAAACCCATGCGACAGGCCACGGCCGATAACGTAGTCAAGTTCCTTGAAAGGGAGGTTTTCCATGTTTTCTGGTTCCCGGAATATCTACATTCAGACAATGGGCAGCAATTCGTTGCCAACATGTTCGAGGCTTTCTTAGAGAAGTACGGAGTTAAGCATATAAAGACAGCATTCTATTCACCTCAAGCTAATGCTGCCGAGCGCGTGAACAGGTCTGTTCTTCAAATGCTAAGATCTTATATAGGCAGTAGTCAAAGAATTTGGGACCAGCACTTGAGTGATGCGGCATTTGCTTTGAGAAGTGTGATACATTCAGCGATAGGTGTATCTCCATACTACGCAGTGTTCGGAATACCGATGGTGCAACACGGCGCGGCGTGTGACGTGCTTAAGAAATTAGGTTCCATCAAGGACACTGACTGCGCTGTAGAATTGGGTCTAGAAAAGTAACAAGCGAATAGGGATAAGATATTCAACGAACTAAAACGAGCACATAGCATAAGCGAAAAGGTTTACAATACTAGGACGAAAAATATTGAATTTAAAATCGGCCAGTTAGTGTACCGCCGCAATTTTAGACAGAGCTCGCTGATGGACCATTGTAATGCTAAATTTGCGCCGAAGAATGTTCAGTGCGTCATATTACGAATAGTTGGCACAGCGCTTTATGAACTAGGCGACACCTCTGGTAAGAAGTTAGGCGTGTACCATGCGAAAGACATGTTTGTAGCATAGACACTCAGCATGTCGGATCCAGGTTTAAGTGTATGTTTTGTCTTGTCTGTATTTGTGATAGAGGTTTCTGTCCGATAAGAATTTGTAGAAAGTGTACATCTTATGTGTACAAAAGATGATAGTTTGACAATACTCAAATTGACACGACTTAAGTTCGCAGATTCATGTACTTATACACCCCTTCTACCGTGTCTTTCCCCCTTACAAGCCTTACCCAGTGATAGGCTAAGTTTTTACCAGGTAAGTAAGACGATTTTTTCGTAGAGAGAGTGAAGAAGATGACAACAGGCTAAGGAATAGGGACCGGCAAAAGGTCATGGGTTGAAGCCACACATTCGGCGCTAGAGAGGAATATGGTCAGGCTGCATTATGAAATCTTTTGCGCACTCGTTCCATAGTGTAGGCACCATCGACGAATGCGAGCGTGTAACGAACAGCCTGGTGTTAATTAGGCGCATGTGTGTGTGCGTGTATGTGGGTGGAGTGTGTGAGTATGGACGATCTGTTTCTGTTAACAACAGTGGGAATTTATACATGTATATGTGGAATGTTAGCTTGAGGGTGGGGAAAGTAAGAGCCACAACTTTAAAGCGGTAAGATCACCGTTTGCAGACCGAATTGCGAATTGGGGAAAGAAGAAGCTGCGCGACACAGTCGAGTAAATTCTGAAGATTGTTAAAGTTGATCAGTGCGCGCCGCGGCAAAGTTTTAGCTTAAAGAAAAAAAATAAAAAATTAAGTGTAAACAGAATAAATGTAGTTGTTTTGGTCTGAAGCGAATCGCAAAGTGTTCAAGTTTGGATCAGGAGCAGTTCGACGGCGAGAACAATCCCGCACCACCAGCTAATTTCAGCAGACATCAGCCCACAAAAATTTGGAGGGGATCCCGCCAACCCAAGGTATGAAGTTTATTGGGAGATCATATGAATCAAAAGTAATAACCCTGGCGCCATAAACAGGTGAAGTAATAAGCCAGCCTTCTTGCTTTGACTACTTCACCTGGTATTGTTCCACCATGTTTAATTGCAGTGAATTAATACTAAAGTAAACGTACAAAAAAAAGAAAAGATAATAATAATAAAGCGTGTAACGAACAGCCTGCTGTTAATTAGGCGCATGTGTGTGTGTATGTATGTGGGTGGAGTGTGTGAGTATGGACGATCTGTTTCTGTTAACAACAGTGTGAATTTATACATGTATAAATATGTGGAATGTTAGCTTGGGGGTGGGGAAAGTAGGAGCTGCAGCTTTAAGGTGGTAAGATCACCGTTTGCAGACCGAATTGCATCTACCAGGGTAAACGGAATCATCATATGCTATAAATTGGGGAAAGAAGAAGCTGCGCGACACAGTTGAGTGAATGCTGAAGTTTGTTAAAGTTATCAGTGCGCGCCGCGGAAAAGTTTTAGCTTAAACAAAAAAAAAAAAAGAGGAGGGCTATTATAGTATTATAGTAGATATATGTACATATGGATATACAATTAAGAATATAAATTAGATTTTGTTAGTAAGATTAAGAAAATAAAAATAAATAAAACTCAGGACATATATGTATGATGCAATTGGTGTTCGATTACTTTTATGAACCATCTTGAAGTAGGGAAGGAAGTAGAATGAGACACTAAGTTTTGTTGTGGTTGGTGCGGGTGTTGCCCTCGAGGTAACCTGGCAGGGATTGATTGTCCACTTCGTATTGGGTTGTGCCGATGCTGACAGGACTGATCGATTGACGAACGGATGTCAGGATAGGGGACTTCGCGGTTGCATCCGGGGCCAGAGTGAAGTCCAAAGCTGCTTGAGCATTTTTTTTAGCAGATGGGGTGGAACGGCTCCCCCTGACAGGACTGTTTCTGCCGCTGTTGTTTTCGGTCTATTTTTCTTCCATGCCAGGTAAGAGGCATGACTTTTTTTGTTTATGACTGCGGGTGCGAGTTAGTGGCAAGAACCAGACCCCTAGGCCGACGATCTCCAGCCGGGCTACCACCATGCCTGTCCCGCCACGACCTCCGCCCGGAACACGCAGTAACATAACAAATGACAGTCAAAAGTTTTGCAGTACTGGGAAATGTACAAAAAATAGTGGTCAAAAGCGAATATCTCAACTAAACACTGATGTATTTTTTAAATTCATAGGTCCACATACCTGTATAGTAAACCAAATAGCCGGACCAGACGTTATTCAAAGTAAAAAATGTAAAAAAATAAACATTTTTCTGTATACTCTGTAATATTCCTCCGCAATTTTGTAAGGTAAACTAATAATTTATAATCATTGCTTTGCAGCGAAATATCTTCTCTTAAAATATATATACATACGTATGTATAAATATGAGGACGTATTCAACATTTTGAGTATGCAGATTTTGTATGCTGGTATATTCATTTATGCTAAATATATTACTTGGTTTTGTTTTGTCACACTTAAGAAGTAAACGTCTTGGCTATTCACCCAACCGGTCTATAGTTTTATTAATAATCTCAGATTGGTTCTGTGATACAAAACTTTGGTTGTACGCTTAGAAAAGACACAAACCTAAAGACAAAGTAATAAACAATTGCACCATTTTTGCTCATTGTCGACTGCAGCCAGGTTTTTACCCTTTTTAAATGGAAGTGCTTTGAAGTTAGAGAGAATAACTTGACACAGAACCGGATGATCCACATATCCACTTTTTAAATCAATTTACTAATTATTTTGTTAGCGTTGGGAGTATAATTTGTTATACAGTATATATATATATGAAAAACCTTGAAAGTTAGGGGGCCGAAATTATCAAGCAAGCATTTAGTGGTACTATTTTTAAAACCTAGGCAAAAATTTGGAAGTTAGGGGAGGGGCCCGAAAAAAATCAAGCACTAATTGAGAACTATGTTGCAGCCATGTTTATACTTGACTTATTTTATCCGAAGAAAAAATAAACACAGCACATCATAGCAAGAACTTTTCACTGTGTTTTTGATTTTTAATGTATCTGCTGTTGTACCATATACGTGGTTCACGTGACAGATATAAACTGTCATATATCATGAGTCAAGAAAGCGGACGTGTTTCGAAGAGTGCGGGCGTGTTTTTAAGTTCGCTCCGTAGTCATTAAATATTGTGCTAATTTAATAAAACAAAAAAATACAAAAACAAAAAAAATAAAATAAACAAAAAAAACCAAATGAAAACAGAAAGCGATGAGTCAAGCTGAAATCCGAGCTCAGAAGCAACGCGAGCAAAATGAGCGCCGGCTTTCAGTTCAACGCAGCAATGCATATTTCTCTATTCGGTCACAGAGTGACAGCGAAAGCGCAAAGCCCAATCCATCGACCACCCTCAAACCCCCTCAAGATTCTGGTCAGCGGACTTGTCCTCCAAACTTACCATTGACGACTCCGATGTCTTGGAGTGAAGAGTGCGCTTCACCTGTGCCGTATCACATTTCACGCCCAACGCTTATATCAAATTCGGTAAGCGATAACATATCCCCAAATATAGCGGCAACAACAACTAGTACAGTGACATGTTTTACTACCTCTATCGCGCCAACAACAACAACAAACACACCGGTACCTGCCGACTGCACAGCGGTGTCAACAGCCCGGCCTATTCTTGCTGCACAAGCACAAAATAACTTAAGTGCAAGCACTGGCAACAGAGGTAAAGCGCAAGAAAAGTTGAAAAACGAAACAACTAAAAATGCGGCCATACAGACTGGAATGGACCGCTATGTTACAATTAAAAGAAAACTTAGTCCGCAAAATTCAACGGGCTGTAAGACAAAAATAAACCGCCTTACCCCAACTCAGTAAGTCAGTACGAATAGATTTGCACTGCTAAGTGACAATGCCGATGATGTGAATAGCCAAATTTCTGAAGGTGCTGCAAAAGCTACTAATGCCAAACCTCCGCCCATTTTTATAAGAGAAGAGAATCCAAGCGCTCTTGTAAAAAAATTCACACAGCTAATCGGTAGTAATAAGTTTCATATTATCCCACTATCTAAGGGAAATATTCGCGAAACTAAAGTACAAATTTATTCCGAACAGGATTTTCGAACAGTGTCCAAATACCTGAATGACACAAACACAAAATTTTATACATACCAACTTAAAAGTGCAAAAGGTCTACAAATTGTAATTAAAGGTATCGAACCAAGCGTTGAAGCTGTGGAAGTTTTGGAGGCACTTAAAGAACAAGGTTTCTATACAAAAGCTGCTGTGAATATTTTTAATAGGAACAAAATCCCTCAACCTATGTTTGAAGTTGAGCTCGAGCCTGAAAACAAACCTCTGGGCAAAAACGATGTGCATCCAATTTATAAATTACAATATCTGCTGCATCGTAGGATAACTGTGGAAGAACCATATAAGAGAAATTTCCCTGTACAATGCACCAACTGCCAGGAGTATGGTCATACTAGGTCTTACTGCACGCTTCGCTCAGTATGCGTAGCTTGTGGAGAGCTACATGTCTCTGCCACTTGCACATCAAACAAAGAAGACCCGCGTGCAAAAAAATGTGGTAACTGCGGTGGAAACCACACAGCAAACTACAGAGGCTGTCCAGTCTATAAGGAGTTAAAAAACCGGATCAACCAACGCGTGGCTTCCATACGTACTCATAATGTACCGAATGCCTTTGTACCCTCCCAAACGAATCCTGACGTCTTCTTCGCCAAAAGAGCCACGTCGCCAACAGTTCTATCAAACACCGTCAATGGCGTCTCGTTTGCAAGTGCCGTAAAATCAGGCTTAGAAAACCGTGCCCTTACAAAAATTGCACCTCAAGTTGCGCCGCAAGAACAGCATCCCCATGCACAATATGGTAAGCAATCCAATATCGAAGCTATGATAGCGTCGATGCAACAAAGCATGATGAATTTCATGACTTACATGCAAAACACAATGCAAAAACTCATGCGAAATCAAAATACGCTGCTCAACCTGCTTGCTACTCAGCAAACAAGATAATGACTTTACTTAAAATAGCTCTCTGGAATGCAAATGGCATTCCTCGCCACAAACTAGAGCTGTCAAAATTTCTTAAGGACAAGGAAATTGACATAATGCTCCTTGCTGAAACACACCTAACTAATAGATATAATTTTGACACTTCGGGTTATACCTTTTATTGCACGAATCATCCAGATGGAAAGGCGCGTGGCGGAACTGGTATTTTAGTCAGAAACTGGATTAAACACCATCATTTGACTGGAATTGCCGAGAATTATCTGCAAGCAACATCAATATGCGTAGAAACAAAGCAAGGTGATATTACGCTGTCCGTGGTTTATTGTCCCCCACGTTTCACGATAACAGAAAAACAGTTTATGGATTTCTTCAGTTCGCTGGGAGAGCGCTTCCTTGCTGCAGGTGATTATAATGCGAAGCACCCTCACTGGGGCTCACGCTTGTCCAACCATAAAGGCAAGCAATTATATAACGCGCTTATATGTAGAAGAAACAAACTCGATTACGCTTCTCCTGGAAAGCCTACATATTGGTCGGCAGACCCGCAAAAGTTGCCAGATTTGATTGACTTTGCGGTGACAAGGAAAATTCCTCGCGGCCTTATTAGTACAGAATCAGTTGCAGATCTCTCATCAGACCACTCACCTGTACTTTTCACCTTGTGGCATCAGCCGCAAGAAAAAGAGTCACCCTATATGCTCACGACAAGGGCTACAAATTGGTTAAAGTATAAAGAATATGTCAGTGCGCATATAGACCTCGATCCAAATTTAGATACGCCGACCGATATTGAAAACTCCATAGCCGCTCTTGAATCTACACTTAGAGCAGCCGCTAGCATTTCCACACCCCAGAAAGGTTATGTGCAAAATAAAAATATAATTTAACCAATAGGAAAATTGAAATGCTTTTCTTGGAAAAACGACGCCTACGACGGATATGGCAGACTCATAGATCACCAGCATCAAAACAACAGCTCAAGGCGGCCACACATGCACTGACGAGAGCCCTCAAGAACGAGGAACAGTACGCACAGTACCGGTACATCCAAAAGCTCTCACCGACTAGCACAAAGCACTCGTTATGGAAAGCACACCACAAGCTAAATGCGCAAATAGAGACTGAAATGCCAGTACGGGACCACAATGGCAAATGGGCTCGGAGTGACGCAGAAAAAGCAAACACCTTTGCTTTTCATCTAAAAAATGTTTTTAGGCCAAACCCCGCAACTAATGATTTTCAACTTCCACCCGTACCCAATGTGTCAGAATGTAAGCCGCTGAAATTTCTACCTGAGGAAATTTCAAAAGTAATTAAGGATCAACTGCAACCAAATAAGGCCCCAGGGCACGACTTAATAACCCCAAAAATTATTATTGAGCTACCAAATTGTGCTGTACTTTGCATCTGTATGCTATTTAACGCAATCACTAAACATTGTCATTTCCCTCACCAAGGGAAAAAGTCGACTATTGTGATGATACCAAAGCCCGGACAAAACGCAGCCATCTTCATATAGGCCCATCAGCCTGCCACCGTGTATGTCGAAATTATTCGAAAAACTTCTTATGCTGCGCATCTCCCCACATCTGCAAGCCCGCAATATAATACCACTTCAACAACATGGAACAATCGAGCAAGTAAATCGCATAACAACCGAAATCCGAACAGCGTTTGAAACGAGGGAATATTGCGCTGCAATATTTCTTGACGTCGTGCAGGCATTTGACCGCGTCTGGCTAGATGGTCTTATGTATAAAATACAAATGCTACTCCCACAAAGCACACACAAACTGCTTAAGTCATACCTTTATAATCGAAAGTTTGCAGTTCGATGTAACACCACCATTTCTGAAGCCCATGCAATCGAAGCTGGAGTGCCACAAGGCAGTGTCCTTGGCCCGATGTTGTATGTCTTATACACCGCGGATATTTCTACAAACGACCGCCTGATTGTGTCCACTTTTGCCGATGACACTACCATAATCAGTCGCTCCAAGTGTGCTCTACAAGCAACTGTGCTCCTAGGCAATCATATGGAAGCTGTTGCCAATTGGCTCGCAAACTGGCGAATAAAGGTTAACGAGCAAAAATGTAAGCAAGTTACATTTACACTGAATAAGAGTAACTGTCCGCCCTTGACTTTAAATAACGTACAAATACCACAAAGCAATCATGTCACGTACCTAGGGGTCCACCTGGACAGGCGACTTACTTGGCGAAACCACATAGTGGCTAAAAGGACTCATCTCAAGCTGAAGGCTAATTCTCTCCACTGGCTTATTAACTCTCGCTCACCCCTGAGCCTGGAGTATAAAGTGCTTATTTACAATACAGTTTTAAAACCGATATGGACCTATGGATGTGAGATATGGGGAAACGCGAGCAGCAGCAACATCGAAATCCTTCGTCGTGCGCAATCTAAAATCCTTCGAACATTCACCGGAGCACCTTGGTATATGCGAAATGAGAACATTCACCGCGACTTGACAATACCAGAAGTACGAACCGAAATAGAACAACGGAAGACGAAATATGTATCGAAGCTTTTAGCGCACCCAAATCATTTAGCAAGATCTTTATTGCGTGTCAACAGGACCTCAAGACTACGTAGGAATGACTTACCAGCCCAGTCGTAATCTTTTCTTAGGGCCAGTTAAGAAAATACTCATCCCAACTAGGGGATGTAAATTCAGTAAATAGATTAAGATTCGAAAACTTATTGTTAGGCTCTTAGGCAGGGCATAAATAATAAATAAAAAATATTTAAAAAAATATATATATATATCATGAACCGATGGACCGAATTCGGGCACACTTCACATAACCCATCTGCATGATAGTGATAGAATATACCCTTTAAATTTGGTAGAATTCGTGCACTTATTTTTATACCCGAGCGCACTTGTGCACAAGGGTATTATAACTTTGTTCACATAACGGTTGTTTGTAACAGGCAAAACGAATCGAGATAGATATAGACAAATGTATACATAAATGATCAGAATGAAAAGAGAAATCGATTAAGCGGTGACTGTCTGTCCGTCCGTCCGTCCGTCTGTGCACACGATAACTCGAGTAAAAATTTAGATATCTTAACGAAACTTGGTACGTGGACTTCTTTTGGGCGTAGGACAGATGGTATTGAAAATGGGCTAAATCGGACAATAACCACGCCTACCTCCTATATAACGGTAATTTTCAGAAATACGAAAACTGCCTTATTTTAGTAACTATTGAAGATAATTCACTCAAAATTAATATTTACAATGAGTTTCAGACGGAAAACATGAATATTATAAATTTTTGGAAAATGGGCGTAGCCACGCCCACTTATGGTTACATGTGTATATCTTTGTAACCGCTACACCAATTTCTTCTAAACTTGGCACAGTTGTTGGCCTTGATACAGCATACTAAATGGCCGATAATTTTTAAAATCGGACAATAACCACGCCCACATCCCATATAACGGTAATTTCGAGAAATACAAAATCTTCGATAAATCAGTAAATATTAAAGCTCATTTATTCAAAATTGATGGTTGCAACAATTCTTTACCAAGAAATACGTTTATGATAAGATTTTGGAAAATGGGCGTGGCACAGCCCACCTGTGATCACATATATGTATCTCGCTAACCGTTCTAGCCATTTGTACCAAACGTGGGTATGGTTATTGTGCTTGCCACATAAAAGCAAACCGTTGAAAATTGTTGAAATCTAAAATTACGGCCGCTTTTCATATAACGGTAAATTTCAGAAATGCTTGAAATTTCATTATTTCGAAATTTAAGGACGCTAATTTACTTAAAATGTATACACCCCGGCTTATCATGTTGCGGTAGCTTTCCGAAAGGTGGAAAACATATGTTTAATACTTGCGCCGGGTATTTAATGTTCGGCTCCGCCCGAACTTAGACTTTCTTACTTCTTTTATTTAAGATGGGGAGTATGGAATTATTTCATATGTCTCTATACCAATTCCAGTAATCTACCACAAATATTTCAAGAGATATACCAGATGAAAATTTTTTTTAGTATGGGTGGTGCCATGCGAATTCGGGGAAGCTTATCACAAACCATCTGCATAATAGCCCGACTATGCCATATAAATTTGGTTGAAATCTTGCACTTCCTTTTTATATATAAGATGGGAGGTGCCAC